CAAAACAGGCTGGCCAGGTAGGCATTCTGAGTCCCATTGTAAAGATGCATTAAGGGTTGGGGCTATAGTTCAGTGGTAGAGCACTTGCCTAGCACATGTAAAGTCCTGGGCTCCATTCCCGGCACCACAAAATTATATTTTAAAACAAGATGGCTCACCTCTATAATTCCAGCTACTCAGAAGACAGATGTCAGGAAGATCACAGTTCAAAGCCAGTCCAGCAAAAACTTACTGAGACCCACCCCATCTCAACAACAACAAAAAGCTAGGTGTGGTGGTTCACACCTGTCATCCCAGCTACACATGAGGTGTAAATAGGAGGATTGCAGCCTAGGCCTCCCTGGGCAAAAAATGAGAGACCCTATTCAAAAAATAACTAAAGTGAAAAGGGGTACAGGTGTGGTTTGAGTAAGATAGATAATCTGACCAGCAAGCATGAAACCCTGAGTTTAAACCCCAGTACCACAAAGAAAGGAAAAAAGAAAGAAAGGAGAGAGAGGGAGGGGGTGGGATGGAGATAAGAAGGAAGGAAGAGAGAGGAATGGGGAGGGGAGCGAAGTGGGGGGAGGAGAGGACAAGAGATTCAATGTGTTCTTTAATGGCTCTTTTCTCTTACTTTTCATTTTAACTTTTCCTGCTCACTGAGAAGTACTGATTTCATGGTATACATTCTAAGCATTTCTAATTTGAATAATTTTGTACATTTTTATCAATTATTAAGTTTCACTTCTAGCTTAAAAAAAGATAGAGAGTTGAGGCAAGTGAAGAACAGATTCTGTAACTTCTCGGGTTACCTGGTGGGTAATTGTAGGAAAAGGGGTTCACAGTAAGTCTGTTTGACACTAAAACCTATTTGCTGATTTACCTCTGTTCTCTCCTTGGCTGGGATATACAAATTTCCAAACATATCATATACAATCATTTTTTCTTTAATAACATTCAAGTGAGTTAAAGGAGCCCAGAGAATTTCTCCATTTTGCTTCACCAAGCGGGAGGAGGAAGTCTGGCCATTAACACCTGGACCACATCTGCCCACAGCATCCCTCCCTCAACTCAGGATTCCCTGCCTCTGACCCTCCCTGCCCAGACCAGTCCCACCAGTAGGCACCTGGGCTCACTCTCCTGGCCACACAGATTGCCTGCCAGGCACTGGTTGCAATTTCGAAGGCTGGTTCAGGCTCTTCCAAGGATCTCAAACAAGAGCCTGCCACTCTTGGATGGCCAAATCTCCTCTCCCCAGCCTAGCAAAACCTTTCTCATTTCTGCTTTGAGTTGCCCTTCTTTAGCTTCTATTTTGGTGATTGAGCAAGGTCCACTCCAGAGTAGCAAAAGATAATTCCCATGTTTTCACCAACCAAACACTGAGGCTTGCGACAGAGGCAACACGCTGCTGGCCAGCTCCACTTGGGAGATGTTTTCCTCTGCCAAATTTCTGCCCCTTGCACAGAAGAGAGCTCAGTAGGGATTCATTGATATAACATACACATTTGTAAAGAGCATTGTACAATTGCCTTGGAATTTTTTAAGCATCAAAAGGAACGTTATAGATTAACCAGCTGTCCTCCCAGTATATCTGTTTATCCCAAAGGGAGTGATTAAAATTTGCTGACGGCTTTAAAAATTATCAGAGAATTACCAGAACGTCCCAAGTTTAATCATTAACAAAGTTTAAAAACCAGAGTGGGATTCAGAGACTTTTAAACATAAGCCATTAAATCAATTACTCATTGATTCTAAAATTCTACACTCTGCACCTCTTGGCTTTGGCCATTTCTTCTGCCACAGTAGCTTCAACTAAAACTTCTGAGTCATGCACATCTGTGACACCAATTTCTTTCCTGTATTTCCAACTGATAGATTTCTCTTCCTGGGTGTCTTCCCAGAATTTTCAACTCCCAGATGTCCTGTCTTTTCCCAAAACCTGCCCTTTCTCCTCCCTTCCTTCTTTTTTGCCAATACCATCTCCATATTCCCAGTCATTTCATGTACATTTCTTTATAAGTGAAAAATTGTCAATACTGTTTGTTGTTCATTGACCACAGGAGCTAAGCCTTTTGGGGGTGGCAAGTAAGGCTCCCCATAGCTCATCACATTGACTATTTTTTAGGGGGGAGAGAAGTTGAGACAGGGTCTTGCTATGTAGCCCAAGCTGGCCTCAAAGTTCAGACCCTCCTGCCTCAGGCAATGGCCCTGATTCTTCATCATTGATGTCCCCTTGGGCCAGGATGTGAAAAATGTTCACTAAATGAATGTGTAATGAATCAATTAATGGACTCCTTCTTGCAGGACCCACCAACTTCTTTTACCTTTTATTGTCTTTTTAAAAATTATTTTAAATTGACACATAAAAATGGGATATGGCAAGTGGTAGAGCAGTTGCCTACCGTGAAAACCTGTGTTCCATCTCCAGCATTGCCAAAAAAACCCCCAAAATCAAAATTATACAAATTGATGGGTGCCATGTGATGTTCTGACGCAGGTGTGCACTGTGCAATATCCAAATCAGTTAAGCATTTCTATTTGCTCAAACACTCATCATTTCTTTGTGGCAAAACCATTCAAAATCCTTCCTTCTAGCTCTCCTACGTCTTCCTAGCTTTTTTGAACTGTACAGTGCATTTTTGGTATCCATGGTTACTCTACTGCACAACAGAGAACACAAGAGAACACCAACAATCATTTCTCCTTGTCCTTGTTTGGGTATTTCAACTCCCTTCTTGGGGTGATAAGTCTTCCTTTTTGGTGTGGTTTTGTTTGTTGGGGGCAGGTGTTGATTGTTTTTCTCCTGCCTCAGCCTCCAGAGTGCTGGGATTATAGGTGTGTGTCACCACACCTGGCTAAGTCTTCCATTTTGATGTGATGCATTTTTAACTCCCTATCGCAGCCTCCCCTTATGCCTTCAGATAAACGAGTAAAACTTTTATGGGGCCTTGTGCCATATTTTATTGTATTTTTTTTTTGCACTGTTAGGGATCAAACCCAGCACTCTACCACTGAGTTATATCCCCAGCCTAAATAGCATTTACACACATTTGCTTTTTCTTTTTCCTTTGCAGTGTTGGGAATGGAACCCAACACACATACTAGGCAAGCACCCCAGTCCCATTGTGCCACATTTTCGATTTTGCAAGGCTAGTGCACGCAGTTTCTCTTGCCCCTCACACTGCCCCTGTAATCTAGCTATGACTAAGTAATGCTACCCCATGTAGCAGATAAAATAATTGAGTAAGGGTGGGCCTTGAAACGCTGCCTTTTTGGTTCTTAGAACAATGTCTATTCCATAAAGCTCCTGAGAAAAGACAGGTCTACTCATGGGTCTCTTTTTTTATCAGAGTTTGGGGGTGAATACTGAGGATTACTGCTGCTTAGAAAAATTGCTAGGCCTTTATCTGACCCTCCTGTGCGAATCCATCATAAAGAATTTGAGTGAGTTTGAAGGTTTGGAGTGTAAGGGCTGGGGTGAAGCTCAGTAGTAGAGTACTTGTCTAGCATATGTGCTGCTGTGGGTTCCATCCCCAGCACTGAAACAAACAAGCAAAACAAAGCATTACTGAAGGTTTGGAGTGTAAATCCGAAAGGGCAAAATAATATGGGAGAAGTAGGAAGTCTGAGTCCATGAGGTAAGAGAGGGATGTTAGGGGCCTGGAAAGAGAATCTTCAGTTTCCGCAACATGGGGTGCTGGCAAGACACCATGAAGAGGCACTTGGTAAAACTTTTGAAAACACCTTGGTAGGTATGCCTTTAAGACCAAGCTCCTTTGGGAGAGAAAATGTCAAAAACCCTCCAAGAAACCTGGGTGCACAGAATCACCAGCCCTGGCATGCTGGGCTTTTGCATCTGTGTACCTGCAGCACCTGGCAGATGGCCTGTCATGGGTGAGCTCACCGGGGTGGCTAGATACAGGTGAGGAAAGGTGAGGAGGGCTGGGGCAAGACAGTAGCTCAGGACCAGGGGCAGGGCCCAAAAGCTGATGCCTGGGGTTCCTCTTCAGGCCCAGGAGAGTAGGTCACCTCTGCCCTGCCCACCTCACAGGGAGCAAGGCTGGCCCCTGCTCCCAAAGATGATTTGAGATAAGGAGAAGGGCAAGTCACGGGTGACATGTCTCCAGATTCTGGAGGTGTGTCTTTCCCTACTGCCCAAAGATCAAGAGGCACTGGGAGTTGGGCCAAAGTACCCATGGGGTCTGGAACCCTGGTTGTGCTGGAAGCATCGGTTATTCCCACTGACTGACCCTCCTCAGAGGGTCCCACTGACCCCATCCCTCCTTCTGGCCTCTGTGTTTCTGGCCCCTGCTGTATCTATGGGCGCCCCTGTGGCTGAAGGAGCAGTCTCTGTCCCCATCCTTACCAAATATGGGCTGGGCCAGAGAGCCTAAAGCGTGGCCACCCTGCTCTTAGGGTTGGGGGAGGGGGACCGGGGAGGTAGACTAAAAGAAGCATTTGCCAGGAAGGCGGTGCAGGCCCAGGTAGAACCCATGACTGTCAGGGACCCATGGAGAATCAGAGGAGTCTGGAGGTATTTGGCAATCGATCGGCCGGGGTCCAATCTTTTCCTCCTGTTCAAGGCCGTTTCCCAATGCCAAGATTACAATAAGTCGTGGTGCACCGCCTGCTCCAAGCCAGGGGGAGTGTCTAGGTCAAACTGGAACAGATGACTGCTGACCTTTGCAGCACACCCCCCAACACGTTTCTCCTGCCTCCTCGCTCCCTTTCCCCTTGCTTCGAAAATTCCAGCAAGCTCAGGTCTGGCAGCCTTCGGGGGATGAAGTTCAAAGTCTGGCCCCAAATCTTCAACAGGCTTCCAGTCCAGGACTTCAGCCCACGGGCGCGCCAAATCCTTCCCCCAGGGAGCTTGGGCGTGCGGCGCTGGGGGCCCGCTAGATCCCCGTGGGTGCACGGAGCGTCTGGGGACTCCAGGTCCAGCCTCCGCCCCGAGGTCGCCCTGCAGGCCTCCCCGCCCCCTCAAACCACCTGTCTGAGATCGCGCAGCCGCCACTGACCTGAGATGCCGCCCCCCACCACGACCACATCGCATTTGCAGCTCATGGTGCTGGTCCCGCTCCAGGCCGCCCCGGTGCTGGCTGCTCTGGTCTCTGGGCCTCTGCCCGCGACCGCACGCTGCTCACTGCCCCGAGTCCCCAACGCCTGGGTTAAGCCGCTATATTGCGGGCCTCGGGCTCCAGGACGCGCAGCCCCGCCCGCTGACACGCAAGTCGGGTGGAGCTCGGCCCAGCTCTGCCGCCCCGGCCTGCAGGGGGAGGGCGCCCAGGCGGAGAGGTGACCTGGGACCTCAGAGTCCCTCCCCCGGGCCACCGCCCCACGGCCTTCTGCAGGCTATTTTCCAATCAGCCTGGCTGCTCTGCTATGGAGCTTAGAGGCAGATCCAGGCGTCTTCCTCCAGCTCCGAGGAGCAAACAATAACAATTATTGCGTGTTTTCTACGTGCCAGGCACGGTGCTAAGCACTTTTCGCAGGATTAATATTCTAGTTTACAATAATCCATTTTACAGATAAGGAAAACAAAGTAGCTAGTAAAAAGCCTGAAAGAAAAAAGAAAGTCATGCGTCAAAACTTACAAAGTATCCCATAAGCATGCATAACTAATATGCGCCCACTTAAAATAATCGTAATCATAAAAGCCAGGAGGTTTCTGAGACTCACTTTGATCCACCACACAGTATTATCTTTGCAGAACTCGGGTGGCATTCCCAGCCCACTCCTCCTCCTCCCAAACATGGGCTTCTTTCCCCATTCCTCTGTGTAGTCAACTGAGGCAGGCCTCAAACACAGCACCTAAAGGCACATTTCCCCACCTTTGCAAGCTATGGAAATAGCCAACTGTGGGGCTGTAGCACAAGTGGGAGAGTGCTTGCTTAGCATGAGCAAGGCCCTGGGTTCCATCCCTAGCACAAAACCAAAACAAAACAAAATCCTGCACATTAGACAACTCAGTGTGTGGACTCTGGAAGCTGTTGAGGTTGGCACCCAGGAGGCTGGCACTGGAGAGGCCTTGGAGGGGCAGGAGGGGTTAAGACACCCCCCCACCCCCACTCTAAAGCAGTATGCCAAGTTATTTATGTGACCCTGGGATGTGGGTGTGGGCACTCTGGCTTTTCCCAACATAAGCTGATTCAACAGGGTTAGAGATGCTTAAGGAAAGGTGGCTCCAGGTCAAACAGGGGCATGTTTCCTCAGGATAATAGGAAAGCCACCTGTGAGAACTAAAAGTGAGAGGAAGCAACATAGGGTGGCTTTTCAAGAAATAATTGGGAGGCTGGGAACTTGGCTCAAGTGATAGAGTTTGCCTAGCAAGTGCAAGGTCCTGAGTTCAAACCCCAGTGAGAGAGAGGAGAGGAGAGGAGAGGGGAAGGAAGGAGAGGAGAGGGGAAGGAAGGAGAGGAGAGGAGAGGAGAAGAGAGGAGAGGAGAGGAGCAAAAAGAAGGAGGACTGGGTGAATGCTTCTGTTCAGGATAGGGGGAGCTGCAAGTCCAGAAGGGGCTGCCTCCTGTGAATTACTGAATTAGTAAGAACCTAAAGCAAACCACCTGGTCCCACCCTGTTCCCTGAACCACCTGCTATCCAGGTGCCCTGAGCTGCTGCTGTCATCATACTAGGAGAGGGGTTGGACACTTCTGTGATCAAGAAATCTTGATCGTGCTGTGACTTAGATTCTAGAAACTTCCAGACCTTGTGCTTGAACCCTGAGCCCCATCCCATGACCCCACTGCAGATGCCTGTGCTGACCTCTTCTTTCCATGCCCTGCCAGGTCCACCTCTGTCCACAATACTGTGAAGCTGTGGGCTCCTTAGCTGTGGATACTCTGTCCCCTCACCTAGCCTGTAAGTGTCAGATGGAGCGGGGACAGGAAAGGGTGCTTGTAGGACAAGCTTGAAATCTCTTTTTCTTTGTTGCAGTGGTGCAGAGTCAACCAGGGGCCTGGGCATATAAAGTTTTGGTCCCACGCAGAGTGACTATTCCTTCCCTATGTCCACCCAACAACAAGGCCAAGAGAGGGGCCAGAATTCCCTGGTATCTAGAGAAAACTCACAGACTGGTGGCATTTTCCCCTGATAGAGGTAACCAGTTACCTTGTGCTCCATGAGATAAAAAATGGGTTGAATTAGAACTCAGGTCTTTATGGTAGAGAAAACAGGAGCCTAGAATGGGTCTCTGAAGCCACTTCTGGTTCCCCACATACATACAGGCAGTCAGTCATGCAGACCTATTCAGGGCCCTAGGTCTCCTGGGTAGGCTAAATCCTGAGGTCTGTCTGCTCCCTCTGTATCACGTGACCAAGTGAAAAGGAGTGCTTCTTAAATTTGAGCATGCATACCTCGGGTCTGGGGTGAAGCCTAAGGAATCACTTTTCTAAAAAGGTCCAGGTGACATCGGTGCTGCTGGCCCATGGACCACACTCTTTGAGCACTACTCTAGACTTCTGCCGCCCCATGGGTTTTAGACTCTGCTCCATGTTCCAGAACCCCTTACCAATCTCAAGGTCCTCCTGATGAAAGGTGTCTGCTATGGCTTGTCCCCACCAAAATGCATGCTGAAGCTTAATTCCTCAAAGTGCTGGCATTGAGATATGGTTTGACCTTGAAGACCTTAGGTCATGGGTGTTCCATCCTCATTGAAGGGATTAATGTAGTTTCCTAAAGTGTTAGTTATATAGCAAGAGCGGATTGTTATAAAGTGAACCTGGCACCTCTTTCCCTTATAAATTACCCAGACCCGAGTATTTTGTGATAACAACAGAAAGTAGACAAATATAGTGTCCGTTTAGTATGCCATCATTTATTGAATACTTGCTATGTTGAGCCCTGGGAAAGAGAAGAGCAAGACGCAGGCTTCCCCTGCCCTTCTGGGGCTCACACTCCATCTGGAAAGACATTGAGGCAGAGTGGTCACAAGTATAATTTCAAGTGTTGCTCAGAAACATATAGCAGGGCCAGCTAATCTAGCCCAGGCAATCATTGAGGACCTCCAGGAGGAAATGGCATTTCTACTGGGATGGCTAGGGGTCATTAACTACTGAGGAAGATGGGAAGATGGGCATTCCAAGCAGTGAACAGCACATGCTAAATTGAGAGGTCAGCCCAAGGCTCCAGCCTCATTGGAAGAAATGGCCATCAGCAGAAAAAAAAAAAACAAACAGACCATCTTTGACAATCTTTTAAGACTGCTTACAAACACCACAAAGTGAATAGTGAATAATAAGATAACAGTGAGTGGTTAACAATGAATAAAATGACAGGAAGCTTCATTGGTTTTTGTATTTCTATCTTCTGTTCCCAGCTAGATAATAAATCCCTGCAGGAAGGGATAATGCATTATCTTTTATTTATCCATTCAAGGATAATTTATTGAACACCAACTCTGTGTCAGGCATTCTGCCCATTAGAAATATGCCATTATAAATAAAAATGATGCTAATCCTAGGAAAACTAAATATAAGAACGGATAACTACCAGGAGCCTAATTTAGATTCCATCCAAGTGATGCTCGACACCTCCAACCAAGATGTGCAGAGGAGTGCTGGTTGCCCGTAGCAGGGCTTACTTGTCTTTTCAGATTCACAAAATCCATGTTTCTTTCATCAATTAAAATGAACATGCTTTGCTTTCACTTTTTTTCATTAGAAGACTGCCAAAGAGATAAAACATCCTTATTACTTCTTTCTTGCTGGCCAGCTTTTCATTAATGGATATTTCATTGAGTCTCTTGATGCTACAGGAGGTTTCAATAAAAAGTTCACCAGATATTATCTCAGTTGTGCATTTTGCCTTTTTGCTGAACGCTGAAAGCTTGACAGGGAACAGAAAATTTGTTTTAAAATTAGATTCTTTAGAATCTACCAGTTTATTTTCCCCAACTACTCTGTAAATCTTTTTTTAAACATACATTGAGGGATAAAATGATGAAAGGGTCGAGTGTTCAGCCAAGATAGCTCTTTAATAATGTTCAATTGAAAATGTTATAAGACCCCTGGTTCTGCCTGGTGAAGTACACCATCATCAACTTGGATCCTAATCTGAGAGTGTTCAAATCTTCTCAGGGGCAATAAGAAGGCAACAGGGTACCCTTCAACTCAACGCAAGGTCGTTTACAGGAAGTTGGGCTACAGAATCTAGATCCAACTCAAGAGTCCACAGGCTGGCTTCAGATGCCAAAGGAAAGACTCACGCCAGGGCCAGATGACTTATCAGGAACTGCATCAAAGGGCAGTTAGCAGGGAACAAGCCAGATGGCAGATGGGTGTTCGTGACTGCCTTAGCAGCCCAAAAGCTTTGTGGATGCATTAAACTGGCCTATTGAAACAAGTATAGCTCTTTTCTCTATGACCTCATCATCATAGCACTGGCAGGACAGGGAACACAGGGACCCAACGCCGAAGGGTGGGTCCCATGATGTATGGAGTCAGGCAAAGACACTGAGCTACAAGGCTTCAGAAAGACAGAGGACATCCTAGACATCATAAATGTTGAGTAAAACAAGAGTTTATTTGTGTTATAAGTGCCGATTGATCTATATTCAATCTTTTTTTAACAATGACTGATGTCAATACTAAACTTATTTCTACAAATCATAAATGAGGACTTACATAATGACAGACCTATCAGAACAGATGATGTGGACTGTAAGAACTGTAAGGGACACCCAGAGGAAGGGCAAATAGCAACTCATTCAGGACTGGGATTATAGCTCAGTGGTAGAGCCCACTGAGTAGCACATACAAGGCCTTGGGTTCCTGCAAAAACAAAAACAAAAGCAAATATGCTCAGCTCGAGGAGAAGAGAAAATAAGAACAGATATTGCCCAAAAACATCGGGATAAGGGCTTTCATCAATTCTTTGCATAAAAAGAAAATGGAAAATTAGTAGTAAAGCCCTACTGTATGCTAATTGTTGATTGCTATATGCTAATTATAGTTATTTCCAATGAATTTCTGCTTTATATAATTCTAACTTCACAGTGTGCATTCACTAATGTGTGATCAATCCTTTGTTGTGTTTATGTAGCCACATAATGATTGCAATCAAGTCTGGTGACCTTGGCAATCAGAGAAGAAAAATAGCTCTTTCCTGGAAGACATGTTCCTGCATGGGAAGGCTGGTTACCAGCAAGACCAAGCC